GGCAGAGCACAGAGCAAGGGTCATTTCCAGCTGCCTGTCTTTGACAAAAAACAAACAAAGAATCCCATGGGTTTACAGATACGTCAATTGTTTTTTAATAAAGTGGGAAGGGAAATCAGGGAAACATTTTTAACCCCCCAAAATTAAAAAATTAAAAGGGATGGAAGGTTTTTGTGTTGGGCCCTCCTTGGACACAGTAAGGCTCAAAAATGTAGAGTCTAGGCTGGAAGATGTATATATATATAGAGAGAGTGTGTGTGTGTGTGTGTGTGCGCACATGCATGCACACACAAAAGCATGCACCCAGCTACCCTCTGCTGGATGGAATCAGAACGGCTCAACTGTGTGTCATAAGCCCTATACTGCTAACACCAAATGGGGATTCTCGTTTAGGTAAAGTGGGAGGGGGCCTGTGCTTTTGGCGCAGGAAAGCTCTGGCATCAAGCTTTACTGTGCCCCTGAGCCTCTGCAGAAGAGGCGGCAGCCCTGGGCTTGATTTGTCCAAGGATTTGAGCACTCACAGCTCCCGCTACAGTCCAGAGGAGCCGTGGGGCCCCAGAGCCGGCTCATTGCTATTAAGGGTCTCATGTGAATGGAAGTGTTAGTATCGTGCACCCATCGATTGCTGTGTTCGCCATGGCTGGGAGCTGGACCTGTGGGCGTGTAGCCATTGCAGACTTAGCTTAGCCTGCCCAGCCATCCCCTCCTAGCCTTGAGCGGCAGGTTGAGAGGAGCCAGCATTCTGAGTGGCTGCCCACGCCTTAAATTCATCCCCCGTGCTCCTGCCAGGTCCCCCTGCCAAGCCGCTCCATCCTTCACTCAAAAAAACATCCGCCAAGAAGAGAGAACTGGCCACGCTGCCCCTTGGATTGTTAATCTCATTATCAGTTGCTTTATATCCATTTGTGGGGGAGGGACCATCTCCCAGCTGGTTGACTGCTCCAGTGTGACACTGCATGGGCTGGTCTCGTTAGGCCTTCAAAAGGTTTCCTTCTCCTGCTCTCCCCTTTGAGCTCCCCCACTATCACGCCCGGGAGGAATTCATTCGCGTTCACTCATTCCATTTGTCTGATGATCAATATTTTGCACCAGCTGCTACTTGGCTGGTTTGGGGGTTTTTTGGTTATTACTTTAATAGATGTTCTTCCCTTTCTGCTGGCAGCTGGTGTTTGTCTTCGGGGGATGGATTTTGTGGTGAGTGCAGGCTCAGCAGGGGCCGTGCCCAGAGAATGCCCAGAGAATGCCCTGAGCCAGACTGAACTGGGTGGCCCTGGCCTCCTGCCTGTGCCCTATTCGCCATCTGAAGGACCCAGGGCCACAGCCGTCTGGCTGGCTAATGCCTGGGTTATTTTAATTGTATTAGCCATTTATTAGCTCAGTATTATCGTGCCGCAGCTACTGGGAATCCTCTTAGATTTCCTCCTGAGATAAGCAGCATTTGGCCTTGTCTTGCCCCGTGGGAGGGGAGACCACAAGGTGCTGCGGAGAGGTGTGCGGGCTCTGCGCTCCCCTCTGAGTGCTAACCCCCGTGTAGGGCTGAGGGTGTCGTCATTCAGCTGGGCTACAGAAGTGATCCCATAGCACGTCTCTCAAGAGCAGGGGGATTAGCTTGCGTGTCCTAAAGATCCCCCCCCCCGCCCTCGCCTGGCAATCGCAGCAGGAGAAGATATTCCCTTCCGGCTTAAACAGCTATGTAGCGGCACTGTGCGCTGTTAAGCAGCTGCAGGGTTTCACCCCAGAGGTGGCTGCACTGCAGCCATGGCTGAAATGACGACTGTATATAGTCACAGGCGAGCGTGGGATGATGCACCAGAAATGTAAGTTGCCGGCAGCGGTAAAACGCTAGGCTGTATCCTAGGGGGTCACCTGCACAAGTTTATTCCTCCCTTTTCTCCTCCATTAAATCCAGAGCTGCATAGTCATGGGGTCATCCATCACTGGGGCAGCAGGGCCGTCCAGGGGGCTAGGGCACTGAACTGGCATCTAGGAGACTTGAGTTCCAGGCCTGGCTCTGCTGCCTGACCTTGGGCAAATCATTCCCCCGCTCTGTGCCTCAGTTTCCCCTCCCACCTTTGTCTGTTTGGTCTATGTAGCCTTGAGCTCTTTGGGGCAGGACCTCACTGAAATGGGGGTTAGGTGCCTACAGACCATCGGGAATCTGGACCCACAACCCTGCTTTAGCTCCCTCGCAGTGGGGCCGCTAAGCTTCCGTTTGTAAAAGGTATCAAAATGCCAAGCTATCAACCCTTTCGGTCCACCCTCAGGCCCGGCCTGTGAACACGGGGCCAGGCTGGGCACGTTGCTTTTTCTTGAATAGTTGTTCGCTGACAGGGACACGGCTCCGGCCTCATACCTCGCTCCGTGCCTATCGAAAAGGCCCCATGTTGCCATGCAGGTCACACACGCTGCCGGCACGGCTGGGAAAGGCAGTGGAGGAGATGACGGGCAGGCCGGGAGGGGGGGCTCTGCTTATTAAAAGACAGTGACAATTCTCCTGGAATTTCTCTGGATTTATGGTCTGAATCTCCTTCAGCCCTTTCCCCAGGCTGGGTATTATCACAGTGAAGGCCAAGGGAATGCCTAATGAAGTGTGAAAGAGTGACCCCTACTGCAGCACCTCTGGGCCCGGCGAGACAAAGGGAGCTGTGCTGGTACGTGTGCGTGCGAGCCGGGCGGGTTTGCTATGGGGCTGGGCTGAGGTCACGCATGCACTGTGGGTTGTGCAGGGTTCGGTGTGTGTTGCCATATGGATTGCCCAGGGGCGTGACTGAGAGTCGTGGACAGTGGAGTGTGTCAAGGGTTGGCCAGCGTGTGAGGCGTGTGCAGTCGTGGAAGGTTTGTGTTGCATGGCAGGAGGCGGAGCGGGTTGTGCCAGATGAGTGGGCGGACGCCCGGGGAAGGAGCGGGTGCGCTGGGTTGTGTTAAAGTGTGCGCGTGCGCTTTGGGTTGTGCGGGGTTTGGGTGATGTGAGTCATGCAGTGCATGCGTACGTGGTTTGTGAGTTGTGTAGCTCAGAGTGGGTGCGTGTTTGCAGGTTGGGCTGTATAGGGGTTGTGTGGGTGCACACATGCGTGGTTTGAGTTGTGTAGCTTGGCGTGGGCACGTGTTTGCAGGTTGGGTTGTATAGGGGTTGTGTGGGTGCATGCATGTGTGGTTTGTGAGTTGTGTAGCTCGGCGTGGGCTGGGGGAGCATGTCTTCACACTGGGCTGGGGCTGAGGGGGTTGCATGGTGAGCCCCGTGTGTTATACAAGGTGATGTGAGTACAATGAAGGGGCAGCGCGTAGTTGGAGGTAACTGAACCACTCACTGAATGATTTCCAAATAAAATGTAGAGGAAGGAGCCAGTCCTCAATAGGTCCCAAGGAAATCAAACCAAAGGCTCTGGGTCCAATAGGACTCAAAGAAGGCCAGGGTTGGTTGGTTTTTCCTGACTGATAAATACTCGGGTTCATGAAGGCAGAAATCTGGTAAGCACCAGGCATCTCCTCTCTCTCAATGATAAATGCTGCAAGGAGCTAGCTAGTGTTGCTGTGTGCAATATTGCCCACTAGTGGATGAAATCTGAACTGTTCGCCTGTGTGTCATAGACACCTCCCTGCTAACAGAGATTCTCCTTTGGCTCAAGTCCTAGGCCCTGTGCCTAGAAGGCTGTGGGTTCCATCCCAGCTGCTGCTGGTGGCTCCAAATGGCCCTGGTCAGCAGCACAGGGAGAGCTGTGACGCCCTAGGTGCCTAGGGATTTGTTAGCATTTTTTAAGACGTAAGAGTTAAACGGGCACAATCTTACCGGCAGGCTGCTCTGAGCAGGGCAAGAGGACACGCTGGTGAAAATGCCTGTGCCCTCTCTATGCTCGTTCCCCTGCCATTGCTACCACAGGGGAAGCTGCACCAGCTGTGGGAGATTTTACTTAAAAGGCGAGTGGACTTTGCCTCACTAGTGCCCAGGGGGTCTCAGCCTTCTGGGTAACACATGGGAACCCAGAGGGCAGCTCCATAGCCCTGAGACCCCGTCGCTCTCAAAGCACGTCGGGAAGGTGGGGCTGCACCACCGCCTTCCTTTTCCAAATGGGGAAACCGAGGCCCAGGGGGGGGGCTAGTGCCACAGTGCATCAGTGGCAGGGTCGGGACTAGGACACGGGTTTCCTATTGCCCAGCCGTGGCTCTAAGCACTCAACAAGACTGCCTCTCCTTTAGGAACCTGGGGGCCGCATCCGGCCCTTAGTTTTCATTGGATCCGCATTCTCCTGTTAAACAATGATAAGCCTAGAGGAAGAAGCAGACCGGGTTATTAATGATTATTATTATTGTAGGTTTCTCCAGACAAATCCCATCAGGGGCCAGAGACTAAATAATTCCCCCTCCCGCCCAATCCCCTCACCCTTTGCCAGCCTGGCCTCTGAACTTCACTGAGACATTTGCTAGTGGCCAGCGGTGCCCGGCAAAGGGTGCTAAGGATCGTTGGCATTTGCGCACCACCCCTTGGCAAAGCCATACTCCTGTTCTTTTTGCGGATACAGACTAACACGGCTGCTACTCTGAAACCTGTGGAGGGGGGGGCATCTCCAGGAGGGCACTTGGGCCGGAGGAGGGCAGGGGGCATTTTTCTGCCAGCCTCCCCTCGCCACTGGATTCCCTTCGGCCTCTCCTGCCTCCAGCAGCCAGCTCCCCTGGCATCTTCAACCCCCTTCCCCTGCCTTGCTATGATTGCCCCCCTCCCTCCATCCCCACCCCCCCCCCGCAGCCAATGCAAGCTGCTCTCTGTCTCCTGGTGCCTCTGCTGCCCCTGCTGCCAGAGACGCTCCATGGCAGCCCTGCCTGGAGATCCCAGCAGCTCCTCCGCTCTCCCAGCCTTCCTCATGCCCCCTCTCCTCCTCCTCCTCCTCCGGCACCCAGGACTCCTTCCTCCCCAGCGCCCGCCGCCTCCTCTCCCCCACCCTAGCCCCCCCCGCCGGCCGCCCACCCAGGGCCAGGGGGGCGCCGGGGGGCACCCAAACTTTCCGATGGAGTTTCTGCGGGCGCTCTGGCTGTGCGTGGGGGTGGCGGGCAGCCTCCTGCCGGCGCCCTGCCAGGGGCACCCCCAGCCCTGCCACATCCTCGCCAGGGTCGGGCACACGGTGCGCCTGGGCGCGCTGCTGCCCCTGGGGGGAGCGCAGGGCCGGGTGCGCAGCGCCCTGGCCAGGGCGAGCCGGGCCACCTGGTTCCCCTATAACCTGAGCTTGGAGATCGTGCCGGGGGCGCCCCGGGAGCGGGACCCGGCGTCGCTGGCTCGCTGGCTGTGCCAGGCGCTGGTGGTGCAAAAGGTGGCGGCCGTGCTGGCCTTCCCCCAGTCCCGGGAGGAGCTGCTCCAGCTGGAGTTCCTCTCCGCCTTCCTGGAGATCCCCTTCCTCAGCGTCCTGGAGATGGAGCGGCGGCTGCCCTTCGGCACCCAGGTAAGGGGGAGTCGCTGCGCCCCTGCCCCGCCGGAGCAGCTTCGGCTGGGCAACAAGTGGGGGTGTGGGGGGGGGTCTGGCTGGTCCCTTGGCTCAGGGCTGGGCCGATCCCTGGGCGCTCTGCAGCTGGTGGGGCTCCTTGGCCACACAAGGGCTAGGCCAGCTGGGGGGGGGGGGGGGCCCCCGCCCCTCCTGGAGTAATTCCCCTGGCGGGGGGGAGGGGGTTTGGGGGGGGGTGGGGGGCTCCTTGCCCAATGAATCCAGCCCCTCCAACTCCCAGTGCAAGCTGCAGTTGGACCTTTTCCTCCTCCCCAGCATGAGCCCTGGTTGTCTGTAAGCCTGGGGGGAGGGGGGGCAGTTCGGGGTGTCCAACAGCAGCACTGCAGCTGGGGGAGGGCTTGTGGTAGGGACTATTTTTAGGGGGGGGGGGGGGAAATCTGCTCTGTATGCAAAGGAGCAGAAGAGACTCCTGGCTGCAAATCCGCACTTGCAACTGGCAGCCTGTTCCCCTGGGCCTGCCACCCTGGAGCGTGTCTGGGTGGGCAAGGAGGCCGGGGAGGGCCTGGAGGGGTCCCTGGAGGCTCTGCTTTCTGTTCTCCTGGCTACCTTGCGCTTCCTTCCCGCCTGGAGCCTTGCCCCAGCTCGATCCTGTCTCTGGAATGACTCGGAAGGGCTGGTCAATACTTCAGCCACCTAGAAGGTCCCAGTGGTTTTGAGGTTTAATCACAGCCAAGTTCAGACCCATCGATCAGGGGGAATATTTATAGTTCGGGGTCGCTTTATTCGCAAGCCAGGCCAGCCTCCTTCCCAGGTCCTTCCCCACCCCCCCCAGGCACATGCGGGAGAGCAGTATTAATTGCAGGAGCGGGAGGGGGCAGGGAGCGGGGTTCTGGAGGAAAACGCCCCCCGTGCGAAGGAGAAGTTCACTTTAGGGCACCTGCGTTCCTGATCCTCGTGGCTTTAGTGCTGGGTGTGAGTTTATGTAACACGAAGAAGCACCGTGTTCCAGGCTTCTTGCCACGAGGCAGGTTCAAGTGAGGAAGGGGTTTAGATAACATGCTGGTGTTTGTAGTATAAAGTCAGCAGGCAGATCCCCGCAGGGCTGTAAATATCTGTACTGACAATCCAAGGGCCTTTCAGATGAGACCTTAACCACCGATCCCCAGGCGCTCTTTGTAAGATTATGCCCTTGGCCTAAATGTCCCCAGTGTTGTGTGCTGGCTGCTGCTTCCCACCCCAGAGGTGGCTGCATCTCCACAGGAGCTGTATGTAAAGTCGGTCAGTTACCCCGCAAACAGCAGAGTTTGTGCTCTCAGGAGGAATCTATTTTAGTGTGGCGCCATAGCCAGACCTTACCCTGCGATAACGCATCACAACAAGAAACAGGCCCGCCACTCAGCTCTCCTCTATCTCAGCCCTCATCTTTGCCTGCCTCCCATGCCCACTGTTCTCTCGCTTTTATTATGGTGAATTATTTCCATCACACACAAGGCTTTGTAAAGCAGAGGAGGTGGGGTGTGTGTGTGTGAATTTTATTGATGCTACAGGAATGACTCTGCTGTAAGCATCGCTGCTTTATTAATGCCCTGGCATTCTCTTGATTCGGAAACCTTTTCCTGCAGCCTCCGTGGGCTGACGGGAATGCAACGCAGAGGGAGGGTAAAAAGTGACCTAGGACCCAAGGGGAAGCCAATTGATGCAGGTCGATTTGGACAGGGGTCTAATTTTTCTTTGCGTGGAGTTGATGTTACTATTTACGCATATAGGATATCTGAGCTCTGGGAACTATCGGGATATTTATTTATTTCTATTACACTCGAGCCCAGAGGTGCTGCTTAGGGTGACCAGATGTCCTGATTTTATAGGGACAGTCTCGATTTTTGGGTCTTTTTCTTATATAGGCTCCTATTACCCCCCACCCCCTGTCCCGATTTTTCACATTTGCTGTCTGGTCACCATAGTGCTGCTACATGCTGTATAGACTTAAAGGCCAGAAGGGACCATCACGATCCTCTAGTCTGACCTCCTGCACATCCCAGAACCTCACCCACCCACTCCTGAAATAGACACCTAACTTCTGGCTGAGTCCGTGACGTTCAAATCACAGTTTAAAGCCTTCAAATCCACCATTTGCACTAGTTTAAACCTGCAAGCGACCCATGTCCCATGCTGCAGCGGAAGGTGAAACCTCCCCCCTGGTCTCTGCCAATCTGATCCGGGGGGAAATTCCTTCCCAATTCCAAATCTGGGGATCAGTTAGACCCTGAGCATGTCGGTGAGACCCAGCAGCCAGACACCTGGGAAAGAATTCTCTGGAGTAACTCAAAGTCCTCCCCACCTAGCGTCCCATCACTGGCTGTTGGAGATCTAGATGTGCAGTGAGAGACAGTCTGTGCTTCAGAAGAGCTTACAGTCTAAATAGATGCGACGGACAAAGGGTGAGGGGAAACTGAGGCATGAAAAACTAAGAAACTTATTTCAGGTCACACAGCAGGTAGAGCTGGGGATAGAACCCAGGCAAACCTCACTTTAACCATTACATGTTTGAATCAATATGCTTGTTGATAAGGATAACTTGCAAAGCAAGCCCTGCTGGTGTTGGAAGCTTCGAAGAGGCTTTGTTTATGGTGTTTACTGAGATATTACAGAATGATGTGCAAGGAGATAATGCTGCCCTTGTCTTGTTTACAATGTCACCAGAAAGTGAGGACAGGCATTTGCATGGCGCTTTTGTAGCCGGCATTGCAAGTCTCGGATGATGACCCAGCACACACTGTTCATGGGGGGAGGGATAGCTCAGTGGTTTGAGCGTTAGCCCACTAAACCCAGGGTTGTGAGTTCAATCCTTGAGGGGGCCATTTAGGGATCTGGGGCAAAAAAAGAAAAAAAAAGTGGGGGATTAGCCCTGCTTTGAGCAGCGGGTTGGACTAGATATCTCCTGAGGTCCCTTCCAACCTTGAGATTCTATGATATGATCTTGAGTCCTGGGCCTGTAAACCACACTGCTTCTCCATAGATATAGTTATGAACAAAATCCTAGACCCCCCTGTATGTATCTTCCTGTCCATATTGTACTTAATTTAGATTGTAAATTCTCTGGGGCATGGCACAGCCAGTGATAGAACCCTGGGTCTAAGCTCTAAGCGCTTAGACCCAGGCTAGCTGGGGCAGCACCATATTCTGGTATGTCTGTGCAGTACAGAGAGCACCGGCGGTACCTGGTAAAGGCAAACCAAGCTCCCACGGCTGACCAGGCTGGCCTCTTGCTTACACAAATATTTTGCCCTCTTCATTCGAGGAACTCTAAGAGCTTTGCTTTGCCACCTTCACGTTAGGCTTCCCAGCAGTCCTGGTGCAGTATTATCCCTACAAACTGAGGATCGAAGAGAGGTTGGAATGCTTTCTCAAGGTCACACCACAAGCTGTGGGCAGAGCTGGGAACAGGACCCAGGAGTCCTGATGCCCGATCCTCCCACCCCACTCTAACCACTAGACTTGACTCTCCTCCTGGAACTGAGAACAGACTCAAGAAGTTCTGGTGCCTACTCCCCTTTCTCTAATCACTAGATTCCTCTCCTCCTAGAGTTGGGAATGGAACCCAGGAGTCCTGGTACCATCCTCCTGCTCTAGCCACGTAATCTCTCCACTGCCTGATGTGGGTATCTATAGAGAGAGTGGGTATGAGCTGGAGTGAAATGTACCAACCACACCAAGCCCTGGTTACTTCACTATCACTGGGAATAATCCCTAATTCTTGGATCTGGCTGCTTTCTTTCTGACCGTTTCTTTACTGATCTCTCCCTCCCGTGCAGCAGGCTTGACATCAGTGCTAGTTCCTGTTCAGAGACTGAGACCAGACTACTAGCTTCTGAAGGAGAGCCGTCTCGACAGCTGGCTCCCTTCTGCCTGGTCTCTAAAGGTGTAAATGGAGGTGTAGATCAATGCTGTTATGTTCCCAGCACAGACGCAGAGAAGTTCCATAAAACCATACAATCCTCTTGCTGGAAGGTCGCAACATCGCAAGACTTTAGTTCTTAAAATTCAGAACAATAACACAAAAGAACCTAAAAACAGAGAGAGACAAAGCAGGCTGCTCCCTAAAACAGAGCGGCACAACTCACCCCACCTCACTCTAGGCTGGCTCTCTGCAGACTAATTGCTGAAACCAAGCTGGCATGCTTTCCTACAGAGCCCCCTAGCCTGCAAGCAGAACCAGGAAATCCCCAACACCTAAAGGGATAGCTTGTAATTTTAACATCATTTCCAATATATCACAAGAGAGAAGTTTTTTCTCCTCCCCTTCCCTTATATTGTGGGTATGAGCTATGGATGGGTTTGACCAAACAACATCTCAGAATCACTTGGAGCTCCACTGGAAGTAGGGGCACTTAGTGCCTTGCAGATTTGAGTCTTTAAATGACCATGTTCTGTTGCATTCCAGTCATGCCCCTCTAAGGGGTGTGAACATGGGTGGGTAAAGAGCAAGAGGAAAGCAGGTCTTGTGGATTGATTGCTGGGCTGGGCCTCCATGGCTGTGGGATTGAGTCCTTCCTCTGCCATCGACTCCCTGACTGGCCTTGGACAAGTCACTTGACCGCTCTGTGCCTCAGTTTCTCCATCTGTAAACTAGGCATGATCTTTCCTTTATCTTGGTGATTTAGATTCTAAGCTCTTCTGGGCCTGTCTGAACAATCACGGAGGATAGGTCCATCAATGACTATTAGCCAAGACAACTCCATGCGCTGGGTGTCCCTAGCCTCTGACTGCCAGACGCTGGGAATGGGCGACAGAGGATGGATCATTCAATGATTGCCTGTTCTGTTTATTCCCTCTGGGGCACCTGGCATTGGCCACTGTCGGCAGACAGGATACTGGGCTAGATGGACCATTGGTCTGACCCAGTCTGGCCATTCCTTATGTTCTTAATGCCTGGCACAGCAGAGCCCTGATCATTCAATAGTTAATGATCATGCAGTGTGAGGGTGCATTTACAGCTCAGCTTCCACCTGGTGTACGGAAGAAGAGTCGCTTCCCAGGGTGAAGCTCCCTGATCTGTGTAAGGGGATGAAGTTAACATCCTGCCCAGTGCTCCTGGCTGAATTTACCCCGCACAGGAAGTGATGAAATTAGAATTTTCTTTAAAACTTTTTATGAAGGGATCTGGATAATGGTGTGTGTGTGTGTGTGTGTGAGAGAGAGAGAGAGATATCGCTGCTCTGGGTCCGTGCTGCATTAGGCATTTCCATTCTACCCCCCTAACTTCCCTTCGGCAGTTTTAATTGGATGCTGGATCCTTCCCTTCCTGCCCTAAACGCTTATGCAGTGTTGCTGTCTGCTGTTAAACAGCAGCCGAGTTCCACCCCAGACGCAGCTGCATCTCAGCATATGCTCGAACACTCTGTGGGCACATGTGAGGGGTCCTCCTTGCACAGCTCCCACTTTGACGACGGCGCCCAAATATCCAGCAAAGTGTGCGACACCCCCTCCACCCACACCCCTTTAGTGTGACTGGGAGCAGAGCCAGAATCCCTGAGGAACTGTTTCTCCTCTTTGAAGCCTTCCCACTGATCTCTTGGATTTGGTGCCCTCTCCTGGCCACTCGCCTCCTTGTCAATTTCCTCTGTGAATTGACTGGAGTTTTATTTTTGGCGTGAGTCAGGGCCGGCTGCAGCAGCGTCGTTTATGATCAGCCCAGGCAGGGTCCCAGGTGCAAGCAGGAGCTTGGGATAGGGGGTCTCCGAGAGGAAGCAGACCCTGCGCTGTGGCGGGTTTTATTCCCGGGTGTCGTTTTAGATTTAAATGCACGCAAAGCCACCGGTCCAAAGGCCATAGGATAATGGGACAGAGCCCAGCAGAGACCACTGCCCTCCATGCCCCAGAATAGCCAGTCGACACACCAGACCCCTCCCCCATGGTGAATTCACAGGAGCCTTCCCTCCCCCCATCAATTGCAAATAACTTGTCCACCCCGTTTGGAGACAGAGGCACCCTCCTAGTCCTGTGGTAAGGCTCACTTCACCGCCATGAGCAGGTGGGACAAGAGGTCCAGGCTGCATGAGTTCCCAGAAGCAACTGTTCCTGAGTGCTGTGTTGCCCCCAAGGCCACAGGCGCTAGGGGGCACTGTGCTGCAGGAAGCAGTGTGGAAGACTCAACAGGGTCAGCAGTGCCCGCAGTACCCTCATGCGGCATGAGGGGGCGCTGGGCATACCCTGGTCCTTTTTAGCATGGTGACCCCAGTTCCCTCGGTCATTAAACGCTGCCTCCCTAAAGTTCCTCTTGTAACTTCATCTCAGTTTGGCCCTTCCTGTCCTAACCGGCGGGGCAGCCTTTCTGGGCAGCTGTTAAACAGCTGCTGCGTTCCACTCCTGAGGTAGCTGCACTTTAGTGGTGGGAGGAAATGATCCCCATGTCTCCCTTACCTAATGGCCAGGAGGGAAGCTCTGAGATCTTTGGGAGGGAAGTTCAGTAGAAGGGCAGAGGAGGAGAAATGCCTCTAGATGACACTGAGTTTCTGGTGTGTCCACATGAGCCGCTGTCGCACCCCCTGATTACAGTACAGCCATATCTTATAGGTACGTACAGCGCCTAGCGCAGTGGGGCCCCCAATTTCAGCTGCCACTAATATAAAGACCAATAAGTAAATCTCACTCGTCATCTCTGGGCTTGCAGAATCCCTTCCACCTGCTCATGGACCGGAAGAGCCCCATGGAGACCCTGGTGGACGTGCTGGACAGCGTCCTGCAGACCAACGACTGGCACGAGATCACCCTGGTGCTGTGCCACGCCTGGGACGTTTCTGGCTTCCTGGATTTCTGGACCAGCAACACTGACCTCTTCCTGAGAACCATCCTGGACCTGAGCTACCTGGACGAGCCGGGCGCCGCCCGCTACCTCCGCCAGCACTTGGAGGAGTTCAAGGAGCTGGCTGGCCCAGTGCTGCTCTTTGGCTGTGACGCCCGCCTCTCACGGCTGGTGTTCAGGGCGGCCTCGGCGTCGGGCCTGATGCTGCAGGACTTTCACTGGATGCTGGGGCACCCGTTGAACGTGGACGAACTGCAGACGGAGGGGCTGCCCCTGGGCCTCCTGGCTTACGGGGAGGTCAACAGCCCCACGTTGGAGCAATTCACCCAGGACGCGGTGGAGTTGGTATCCCGGGCCATCTCCAGCGCCATGTACATCCGGCCCGACCTCACCCTCATCCAGAGCATGGTGAACTGCAACGACAAGCACGTGGAAGGCTCGGAGTCCTCTGGGCACTACCTCTCCAGGTAAGCTTGGAGCCAGCCCCGTCAGCGACTCCTAGCACGTGGGCCAGTGTCTGTCTCGCCCAGCCGCTGCCCCCTGCTGGGGCATCTGCTTCTCTTTGAACATTCAGACAGCCAGAGTCGCTTTCCTGCCATGGCGGGCTGGGCGCAGAGGGAGGTTGCCAGCCGGCAGCCATGCCCAGCCGGTCCTCCCACACCCTCCGATGCCCCCTACTGGTTGGCCTTCCTCTGCATTTGATTTTTAGTGCAAGAACCGGAGTCTCTCTGTTTAATGTCATGGGGTGGTCCAGGGTGTCTCAGGTCTTAATGCTGACCTGCTGGGTGACCCCGTGGCATGCCACTTCCCTTCCCTGTGCCTCAGTTTCTCATTTGGGTGAAATTCTCTGGCCTCTGCTCTGCAAGAGCTCAGCCCTAGATGGTCATAATGGTCCCTTCTTGCCTTAAAAATCTAAGGTTTGTCAGACTGGGTCATAATAGGGAGGCAGTGGAAAGAGCACGGGACTGGGTCTCAGGAGACCTCCCTTCTATTCCCGACTCTGCCGCTGACCAGCTGGGTGACCTTGGGCAAGTCACTTCCCCTCCACATGCCTCAATTTCCCCAGCTGGATGATGGGGCTCACAATACTGCCCTCCTTTGTAAAGTGCTTTGTGATCTTTGGGAAAGAAGCAGTTGGCGTTGTTATGTTAATACCTTGCACTCCTCTGGCACTGCACTAATTAACTAAGTAGCCCTTGCAATCCCTCTGTCGGGGGAGGGGTGAAGGGAATTATTTATTGTTATACAGATGGGGAAACTGAGGCACCAAAAGTCACTTGCCCAGGGTCAATACAGCAAAGCGGTGGCCGAGCTGGGACTAGTCTCCTGACTCCAGCCTGTGCTCTGACCACTAGGTCATGCAGCCTCTTGGGAGATCAGCGGTCTGCTCAGGCACTAACCATTTCCTGCAAGAGGCTGTGTCTGTGCAGAAGCTGTCTGGGAAAGGGACTTTGTCTCTTTAAATCTCTGAGGAACGTCACCAGAAAGCTGTTGTTATAGAAATATGAATTCTGCTAAGGCCCCGGCAGAAGGCAGTGTGTGGGCAGCGTGGGCGGGATCCCTTCCTGACCCTCCCAGCAATCCCAGGCCCTGGAGCATGGCATTTGATTCCCGTTAATTACAGCTACCAGCATCACTAATGGTCCAGCTGCTTTAGAAATGCAGCGAAGTGCTGCCCCCTCCTCGAGGCCTCTCTGGCAACTTGGGCTCATTCTGGAGACGCTACTAGTGTCTTAATGAGGCTGTTCCAAGGCCCGGGAGAGGGAGTGGGAGGGGAGCAGAGGGAAGGCGAGTGAGAGATGGAAGGAAAAGGAGAGCCGAGGAGAATGGAGCTGATGCCAGAGGGAGAGGCAGGCTCAGTGGGGCAGAGGGTTGTTTTATGGGATGATTTGGCAGCCTTGGATGGAAGATGGAATTCACACCCTCTGCCCGCACACGCCCCTCCAATCCCCTGTGCCATGTGCATTCTGACATGAACCCATGTTAGCACTGACACACATGGGCCCATGCTCACCCTGCCACACCCAGAGGCCCAGGCGCTCAGACATGCATGGCGACACACACATGGTCACCTGTCCAGTCTGACATGCAAAGATATGCACACACACACTGTTCTGCATGGTTGCATGTCCAGTGTGACATGGGATGCTATGCACACACACACTGCCCTGCATGGTCACATGTCCAGTCT